AGTACTGTTCAAGACAATGGTTGACACAGTACTGTACAAGACATTGGTTGACACAGTACTGTACAAGACACTGGTTGACACTATGTTCAAGACAATGGTTGAACAGTACTGTACAAGACACTGGTTGACACAGTACTGTACAAGACACTGGTTGACACAGTACTGTTCAAGACAATGGTTGACACAGTACTGTACAAGACATTGGTTGACACAGTACTGTACAAGACACTGGTTGACACAGTACTGTTCAAGACAATGGTTGACACAGTACTGTACAAGACATTGGTTGACACAGTACTGTACAAGACACTGGTTGACACAGTACTGTTCAAGACAATGACAGAAAGTGAAAGAACAGTCACAAGATGTTCAGTCTGGTGAACATTAATTATTGTATTTCATGTTATGGTGAAATTATTGAAGTTATTTAGTGCAGGACGCTCCAGCCTCCACCACTAGTAGTGTACTACCACCACTAGTAGTGTACTACCTCCACTAGTAGTGTACTACCTCCACTAGTAGTGTACTACCACCACTAGTAGTGTACTACCTCCACTAGTAGTGTACTACCACCACTAGTAGTGTACTACCTCCACTAATTGTAGTCTACTACCTCCACTAGTAGTGTACTACCAACAATATACAAATAACCGAACATAAGAGAGAGAAGCTTATGACAACGTTTTGTTTTGACTCGGATCATTTACGAAGTCACTGACACAAAAGAGTGAGGCAGCCAGTATGTACATGCATAGGTGAGGAAAACAAGGACAGGAACAAGAGAGAGGAAGAAAAAGTAGTTGTTGTGGTGACGCTGGTAGTGGAGGTACAGTGGTACCTCGAGTTTCGAATAGCTCCCAACTCGAACAATTACGTAAGTGTATTTTCGTAAGTGCTTTTGTAAGTGTATTTTTGGGGGTCTGAAATGGACTAATCTAATTTATATTATTCCTTATGGAAACAATTTTGTTCAGTATCGGCACTCAAACACCCTTCTGGAATGAATTAAGTTTGTAACTCAAGGTATCACTGTACAGTGGACCCCTGGTTAACGATATTTTTTCATTCCAGAAGTATGTTCAGGTGCCAGTACTGACCAAATTTGTTCCCATAAGGAATATTCTCAAGTAGATTAGTCCATTTCAGACCCCCAAACATACACGTACAAACGCACTTACATAAATACACTTACATAATTGGACGCATTGGGAGGTGATCGTTAAGCGGGGGTCCACTGTAGTAGTAGACAAAATAGTGGTAGAAGAAAGTAGGGAGAGGAGTTTAGTGCCAAAAGAGAGAAAGTGGAGAGCATAGTGGCATGTTCATTCACTACCTTTCTTACCATGCTTTCTCTGTCAAGAAACATATTCTTATTTTTATCTTTCTCCATGCCCTCCACATTTGTGACCCTCGGTTCCTAGAATCAGAAATTTCCACTCTTTGTAATTCATTCCCTGGTCTTGTCTACCCTTTCCATTTCATAAACTCTGCCTTCTCATGTGCTAAACAGATTGTCTTCTCTTCCAAACTCTACTCCTGTGAAATGTCCTGCTCTTTGCCTCCCTATATTTCCAGTCTTTCTAATCTCAACAGCTCTCTCTGTTCCTTAGACATCAAGCTTACATTTTGCCAAATGAACACCCTTCACAGTAATCTAGTTCGTACCTCTCCTCCTGCTATAGATGTCCCTGGTGTCTACTCTTGCTCCTTGTGTCCTCTTCAATACAGTGGACCCCCGCTTTACGATCAGCTCCCAATGCGACCAATTATGTAAGTGTATTTATGTAAGTGCATTTGTATGTGTATGTTTGGGGGTCTGAAATGGACTAATCTAATTCACAATATTCCTTATGGGAACAAATTCGTTCAGTAATGGCACCTGAACATACTTCTGGAATGAAATAATATCGTAAGCCGGGGGTCCACTGTACTTTGGAGAAGCTGGCCATTATCTTTCTGACAGACTCAAAGAACACAAAAAAGTGTTTGGCTTGCCAATACCAATAATGCTTTTTTCTGTCATGTTAGAGATCATAGTCATCCTATTAACTGGTCCTCTGCTAAAACTGTCTACCCTTCTTCTAGCCTTCACAGTCGCCATCTTATTGAATCCTCCCTTATACACAACTTTTATTGTATGAATCTCAGTCCTGGCTTTGTTTCTGTAGATGCCTTCCTTTCCCATCACATTTTCAAATGCTCCAAACTTCAAAATACTCGTGACTTAACCTGATACTTTCTTCTCTTCCTCCTCTCCCTACTTCTTCTAATTTCCTATTTTTTTCCTGTTCTTTCTTTGTTTACCTTTCTTCTGCCTAAGTGTGTTTTGTCTTTCAATTTTTTTTCCCCCATGTTTTTGGTCCTACCCCTTGTGGGTCATTAGCCCTCCTGCAGTGCTCCCTTTTTTGTCCTTAGACTGGCCCTGCTTCTACTACTATAACTACCACTCCTTTTCTATTACTATTGCTTCCCTTCACTCCTCTTTCTCTACTATGCCACTAAACTACTCTCCCTACTTTCTACTGCCACTATTTCATCTACTACTACTTTCACTACCAGCATTACCACCACCACCACTTTTTCCTGTCCTTGTTTCCTTCACCTATGCATATACATACTGGCTGCCTCACTCTTTTGTATCAGTGACTTTGTAAATGGTTCAAGTCGGACCGAAACGCTGTGGTGAGCTCCTCTCCCCAATGTGCGGGTTATTTGTGTATTCTTCCAGTCACGGTATTGTGCCTCTTTGTTCCCTACCACCATTAGTAGTGTACTACCACCATTAGTAGTGTACTATCACCACTAGTAGTGTACTACCACCACTATTAGTGTACCACCACCATTAGTAGTGTACTACCATCACTAGTAGTGAACTACCACCATTAGTAGTGTACTATCACAACTAGTAGTATACTATCACAACTAGTAGTGTACTGTCACCACTAGTAGTGTACTACCACCACTAGTAGTCGTGTACTACCACCATTCATTTATCTACACACACACACACATACAAACAAAACACATACAAACAAAACACACACACAAAACACACACACACACACACACACACACACACACACCACACACACACACACACACACACACACACACACACAGCACACACACACAAAAACACACACTACTACTACACTAAACTACAGACCAGTGTCACTGACATGTATTGTATGCAAAGTCATGGAGAAGATTATCAGAAGAGTGGTGGAGCACCTAGAAAGGAATAAGCTTATCAACGACAACCAGCATGGTTTCAGGGACAGGAAATCCTGTGTTACAAACCTACTGGAGTTCTATGACAGGGTGACAGCAGTAAGTTAAGAGAGAGAGAAGGGTGGGTAGATGCATTTTCTTGGACTGTAAGAAGGCTTTTGACATAGTTCCACACAAGAGATTAGTGCATAAACTAGAGGACCAGGCAGGTATAACTGGGAAGGCACTGCAATGTATCAGGGAATATCTGTCGGGAGGACATCAGCGTGTGATGGTATGTGACAAGGTGCCAGAGCGGGTGCCTGTGATGAGCGGGGTTCCACAGGGGTCAGTCCTAGGACCGGTGCTGTTTCTGATATATGTGAATGACATGACATAAAGAATAGACTCAGAAGAGTCCCTGTTTGCAGATGATGTGAAGTTGATGAGAAGAATTCAATCAAAAAAGGACCAGGCAGAACTACAATGGGATCTGGACAGCTGCAGGCCTGGTCCATAAACTGGCTCCAGGAGTTCAACCCCACCAAGTGCAAAGTCATGAAGATTGGGGAAGAGAAAAGAAGACTGCAGACAGTACAGTCTAGGGGCCCAGAGACTACAAACCTCACTCAAGGAAAAGGATTTAATGGTGAGTATAACACTGAGCACATCTCCTGAGGCGCACATCAACTAAATAACTGCTACAACATATGGGCGCCTAGCAAACCTAAGAATAGCATTCCAACATCTCAATAAGGAATCGTTCAGGACCCTGTACACCATGTATATCAGGCCTATATTGGAGTATGCAGCACCAGTTTGGAACCCACACCTAGCCAAGCACATAAGGAAATTGGAGAAAGTGCAAAGATTTACAACCAGACTAGTCCCGGAGCTAAGGGGCATGTCCTACGAGGAGAGGTTAAGGAAAATTGACCTCATGACACTGAAGGACACGATAGGGGGGATATGATAACGACAAATAAAATACTGACAGGAACTGACAAGGTGGACAGAGACAGGATGTTCCAGAGATGGTACACAGCAACAAGGGGTCACAACTGGATGTCAAAGACTCAGATGAATCACAGGGATGTTAGGAAGTACTTCTTTAGTCACAGAGTGATCAGGAAGTGGAATAGTCTGGGAAGTAATGTAGTGGAGGCAGAATCCACACACAGCTTTAAGAAGAGGTATGATGAAACTCATGGAGCAGGAAGAATGACCTAGTAGCGGTCAGTGAAGAGGCGGGGCCAGGAGCTAAGACTCGACCCCTGCAACCACAACTAGGTGAGGTGAGTACACACACATGCAGAACACACACACACACACACACACACACACACAAACAAACAACACACACACACACACACACACACACACACACACACACACACACACACACACAAAACAACACACACACAAAACACACACACATACACCCACACACACAACACACACACATACACACACACACAACATATACAACACACAACATACACAACACAAAACACATACACAACACATACATAAGACACAAGACATAATGCACACACAAAACACACAATACACAACATACATAGTTTTAAGACGAGGTTTGATAAAGCTCATGGAGCAGGGAGAGAGAGAGGACCTAGTAGCCAACAGTGAAGAGGCAGGGCCAGGAGCTATGAATCTTCTCCCACAACCACAAATAGGTGAGTACATATAGGCAAGTACACACACACACACACACACACACACACACACACAACACACACACACACACACACACACACACACACACACAACACACACAACACACACAAAACACACACACACACACACACATGCACACACAAACACACACACATATACAAAAAGATAAATTAATTTCATATATTAACTTAGTCTGATATAAAACTTAATAATTGTAGTAGAAAAACAGCAATAATGGTAAGACACATATGCAACCTAACTGTTGCATATGTGTCTTACCTAACAACCTGTCGGTATTTTATACCATTTTAATGTTCAAACAGCAATAATATTCTACAAAAATACTTAAGACAGAGTATGTAAAGTGTTGAGACATAACCTATGTCTGTCAATGACTGACTGTTTTAGTATTATTTAGTACACACTCACACACACACTCACATGCACACACTCACATGCACACACTCACACACACACATAAGAATGGAGGAACACTACAGCAGGCCTACTGGCCCATACATGGCAGGTCCTTATCAAAATCAACCATGTATTTGTCTAACCTTTTCCAAGCTACGTAAGAATTTAATTCCATACCCCAGACACCAATCAAACCCAGCCCCTCTCACTCATATATTTATCCAATCTCTTTTTAAAACTACCCAAGGTTCTAGCCTCGAATACCCTACTTTGAAGATTGTTTCATGCACTGACAACTCTGTTTGGCCAATACTTACCTATGTACTTTCTAAATCTAAATTTATCTAACTTAAATCTGTTATCTCTGGTTCTTACTTGATTCAATATCCTCAGTATTTTATTAATATCACCTTTGTTTATATCCATCATCCACTTTGGTGATATCTCACTTCATTCTACATCTCTCAAGAGGGTGAAAATTCATACAGGAGATTCCTTATATAGTAAATCAACATTGTCATCCTTCTCTGTGTGTCCTCCAATGAATTTATATCCATTCTGTAGTAAGGGGACCAAAACTGAGCAGAATAATCTAAGTTAGGCCTTACTAGTGATGTACAGAGCTGTAAAATAACTTTTGGACTCCTGTTACTTATACTTCTTGATAAAAATCCAAGTAATCTGTCAGCCTTATTGCACACACACACTGACACACACACACTACTGACACACACACTACTGACACACACACTATTGACACACACTATACTGACACACACACAAACCAGTCACGGAACACTTCCATCGTACACATTACGTTAACAGCCTCTCGTTAAAACCTTAAGCATAATATATTTAATTATGTAGATATAATTTGTGCTTATGAGAACTTTTCTCCACATGATATATGACACCATTATACTGACTGAGTGCCCAGTGCCACACCATCATAATGACTGACTGTCCAGTGCCACACCATCATACTGACTGTCCGTGCCACACCATCATACTGACTGACTGTCCAGTGCCACACCATCATACTGACTGACTCCCCAGTGCCACCTCATCATACTGACTGTTCATCAGTGCCACACCATATTGATTGACTGCCCAGTGCCACACCATCATACTGACTATCCAGTGCCACACCATCATACTGACTATCCAGTGCCACATCATCTACTGACTGACTGCCCAGTGCCACACCATACTGACTGACTGTCCAGTGCCACACCATCATACTGACTGCCCATCAATGCCACACCATCATACTGACTGCCCATCAATACTACACCATCATACTCACTGCCAATCAGTGCCACACCATCATACAGTGCCACACCATCATACTGACTGTCCATCAGTGCCACACCATATACTCACTGCCCATCAGTGCCACACCATCATACTGACTGCCCACCAGTGCCACACATTTGAGCATACATATATCTGAGGTTATATAATCTACAAAATGGTGTATCACCTGGCTTAGTCGACCAGATCTGTTATCTTGCAATCTTTATTTTATGACAAATAATATTGCAACTTTGGTATACACTAGGATTATGCAAATTAGCTGTATCTATGCTATGTACAATAAAAACTTATTAGCCAAGCAAATATGCTGAAGTGAAACTTTAGGAAAGATCTCAGTATATTCATGTTTGACTTTTAGTTTGTGATTGTTCAAACATCACAGCAAGACAAACTTGTGAGGTGATTGTGATTGTTGCAGCCACAACACTGACTTAGTTTCTTTAAGCTTGTTATCCACCAAACACAGCTAACTTTATTTTATGAAATAAAGCAATGGCAAATATATTAGATAAAAACTAGTTACATCATTATCATGATTGGGTGTGCAAGTCTGCACTTGAAATATTTATCATGTATCTTCCCGGCGTCCCTTGAGCAAGAAGACGTCCATGTTATCTTTCCCCTTGACAAACACTTGTCCTCGTCTTTCTAGTTCATACCGTCTGTTGAGGACTACTGCACACCTGTTACTAACTTGTATACGTCCTGGAACCCCAGTGGAGTCCATGCGGGAAGCAATATTTACCGCATCTCCCCAGATATCATAATAAAGTTTGGTTGTTCCTATTACTCCAGCTGTTACGTCCCCAAAGTTTAGTCCAATGCGAATAATGAGGTTAAATTCTATGAGATCTTGATTGAAGTCTTCAATAACCTTCTGCATAGCTAAAGCAAACTCCATTAGCTCAAATATATGTTGATGAGCATCAGTGTTGCTCTGCCTGACCTTAGCATCCAAGCCAGAAGCTGCCATGTAAGTACTTCCAATAGTTTTGATCTTTTCAATATTCTTGAACTCAGGACGCAAGAGCAGCTCATCAATATCGGCGACGAGTTCGTTTAAAACACGCAGGTATTCCTTTCCACCGAGGTAATCCTCGTCGTACAGTTCGTTAAAATTAACTATCGATGCAAACATCACAGCGACATCTTTGTGGTTCTCAGAATATTTTGCAGTTGTCTTAATTGAGTCAGCTACGTGTCGTGGGATAATATTGTTGAGAAGCCAATCTGCCTGGTTCTTCATAGTCTGTACTTGCACTTTATCTTTCATAGCCATTACAGACCCATGGAAACTCAGTCTATAACTGATTTCAAATTCTCGGTTTAGAAACCATACTAAGAGCACTAACAAGACTGAGGCAACTACTAACTCTTGGTATGAAAAGTGAGCCAAAGACTCACTCATTTCACCCGCACTATATAAAGTGCTATTATTTCTGTTATCATTCATGTGACTAGCCTGTAGACACAGGGATGGTGAGACAAGCACCAGTAATATTACTATACCAATAGTTGCTAGTATGTTTTTCATCCAGCAGTTTAGCTGTGTGAAGTTGCATAAATGTATTGAAGACACAAATGTAAGGTAACAGAAGAATGTCTTTGTGCCATCAAGATCTGAAAGGCTACAGGAAAAGTTAGACATGACTGCTGCAAGAGGCAGACAAATTATAGACGCACCACAAATATGCCAAGGATGCCAACGCGTTAGTTTTGCATAGATCTGTGACGACGTGCCGGTATTTTCTCGACGCATCACTTGTGACGAACACAGTACCAACAAGAGTAAGTGCCAGCAAGTTGATACAAGGCACAACACTAACCATCCTAGTGTGTATTGAAATAACATAAAAAGAGAGATAGTTACTACTATGTATACGAGTGCACTAACCAAGATGTCAAAGTAAGTATTAAAATGAGTTGACACTAAGGTGGGTGGTGAGTCGTGTCTTGGCTTGTGAGCCTGCTGCCGATACTGCTTTTCAAGTTCGTCATCCACAAAGAATAAAGTCGTGTGAGAAAGTGGCGGAGCCTCGATATACTGTCGATGATTTTCAGCTTGTTGCATGCACTTGATTAATTGAAGATCTGACTGTTTACGCAGCTGATGGAAGCGTGTCAGACTCTCATTGAGGGGAATACTGCATGGCTCAGCTCCACACCCACTCTCACCCATATCAACTGTAACACAAACAATATATTAACTGCATAAGTAAATAATAAACATTAACTTAATAACAAACATTTTATCTTAACCTTTAGATAGATGTGTCTGGAGCATTTAGCTAGTAGTAAGTGCATTGTATAAAAGTGTACCATGATAACTTCATAAAACATACATTAAATCTAAGTGTACATTTCATAAAACATACACTGTATCTTTCCTAAGCTACAAGTTTTACAACTAAAAAATTGAATTCCTGTATTGTGAATGTTGACCAATGACTTCTCAAAATAAAAATGAGATACTCACCAAACTTATGGTCGACAACAGAGGACTGACTGGATGTGTAGTAACCACTAACACGATGCGTCAATAAGTCTCCTGGACTCATACCATTAATAGCAAACAGCTGGAAATAAGTTCATATATTGATTAGATAAGTGGCTGCAATGGAGTGATTATTGAGCATTCTTCTTCCCAACCCCACGCACTAATACTAAGGAGGTGGAATACATGTACGCTGGTGCCAATGATTTTGTGCTGCAAGCCAAGACGTAAACATTTAAACGTAAACATTTTAGCGAAAAATAAATACAGTTATTGAAAGAAAGCTTGGTTAGTTTAATTATGCATTGTTGTGTGTGTGTGTGCGTGTACATGTGTGTGTGTGTGTGTGCATGTGCACGCAGCTGTGGCAGCAGAGCTGTGTGTGCGTGTGTGCATGTGCACGCAGCTGTGGCAGCAGAGCTGTGTGTGTGCAGCTCCAGGAGTAGAGGTGTGTGTGTGCAGCTGTAGGAGCAGAGCTGTGTGTTTACAGCTGTAGGAGCAGAACTATGCATGTAGAGCTGTAGGAGCAGAGCTGTGTGTGTGTGCAGCTGCAGAAGCAGAGCTGTCTGTGTGCAAGTTCAGCAGCAAAGCTGTGTGTGTGCAACTGTAGGAGCAGAGCTATGTGTATATAGCTGTAGCAGCAGAGCTGTGTGTATAGCTGTAGCAGCAGAGCTGTGTGTGTGCAGCCGTAGCAGCAGAGCTATGTGTGTGCAGCTGCAGCAGCAGCAGCAGAGCTGTGTGTGTGCAGGTACAGCAGCAGAGCTGTGTCTGCAGCTGTACCCTACTCATTAGTATTATTATTATTACCAGCTACTGTATTATTATTTATATTTTTACTTAATGTAAAAAGAAGCTTTTGGCTCTTTTTGTTCAGGTCAGCAGCTGCCTCAGTGGGAGACCGTCAAGGTGTTAGATATCAATTATTATTATTGTTATTTCTGTACATAGTATAATTACTGATATAAATGGTACAATGGTTGATAACGAGAGCATATAAAGTCCATATGTACACTCGTACAGCCTCACTGTACAAGCAGGGCCCTCCTTACAGCCCCACTCTATAAGCGGGGCCAACCTGTATGTTGTTGCATTCCCTCTGTGTGGACTGGCTTGTACTACAAGTGATCAACTTAATTCTTATATGCTGGTAATGATCATCTGAAGTTGTCTTCTTTATTAAACTGCTCTAGTTATAAGGACTTAAAGAAACATACATAGAACTTTTATTGATGAAGTTCTACCCCCCCTCACTCACTCACTCACTCACTCACTCACTCACTCACTCTCTCTCTCTCTACATCACCACACACACACCACACACACACAGCTGTGACTCGACCCCTGCAACCACAAATAGGTGAGTACACAAACACACACACACACACACACACACACACACACACACACACACACACAACACACACACACACACACACACACCAGGAGGAAACCAACAGTCAAGGACCAGGTAATCCGGCTGAGGAAGGAGGGGAAATCACAAGAAATGACAAATAAGTATGTGAAGAGCTAAACATGAGATTTAGCCCTTTGCAGGTCCATCCCGTAGCTCTAGGGCTTTGAAGCCAGGGTCCAAACCATAGATCTACGCCATGAGCTCAGCTCACTCAGATAACCTGTGAGCTGTAAATTTGGGCCTAGATATGAGAGAATACATTTATGTGGTAAGTGTGCACCACATAAAACAAATCCTGCAGCAAGAAGTGCAAGATGAGAGAAAAAAACTGAGACTGTAATTTTGGATTAAAACAGTGACTTTGCGGTGTTTTCTCGTATGATTTTACAGTTGTATTCGCGATTTCTTGGGCTTATTTGACAGAATCAAAGATATATTACAGAAATAGAGTTTATTTTGATTGGTTTTAATAGTGAAAATGGCTTGAAACTGAGTTCAAAATAGCGGAAATGTTCAATTTTTGCCGATGTTCAAGAGTAAACAAATACATGTATGTATCGTCACGAGTCTAATACGCATCAGCTGGTGGGTCAAATATACGTTCACAAATCTACTGATATTATTTATACAATTATTACAACACTGCATAACAGTAAATCTTCTATTTTTTGGTGAGTGAATAAAAAATTCATTATATGAATAAAAAAATCAAAAAGATTAGTGCAAAAGCAAAAGGAGCAGGTAGGAATAACAGGAAAGGCACTGCAATGGATCAGAGAATACCTGAGAGGAAGGAAACAACGAGTGATGGTACATAATGAGGTGTCAGAGTGGGTTCCTGTGATAAGCGAGGCTCCACAAGGGAATAGATTCCTAGGTGTCCCTGTTTGCAGACAATGTGAAGCTAATGCAGAGAATTCAGTAGGATGAGGATCAGGTAGAACTACAAAGGGCTCTGGACAGGCTTCAAGCCTAGTCCAGCAGTTGGCTCCTGGAGATTAACCCCACCACATGTAAAGTTATGAAGATTGGGGAAGGTCCAAGAAGACTGCAGACAGAGTACAAACTTGGGGGTGAAAGACTGCAAACCTCATTCAAGGAAAGGATCTTGGAGTAAGTATAATACCGAGCAGATCTCTTGAGGCGCACATCAACCAAATAACTGCTGTAGCATGTGGACGCCTGGCAAATCTAAGAATAGTGTTCTGACACCTTAGCAAGGAATCGTTCAAGACTCTGTATACCGTGTACATCAGGCCCATACTGGAGTATGCAGCACCAGCGTGGAACCCCGCACCTGGTCAAGCCCATCAAGAAATTGGAGAAAGTGCAAAGGTTTGCAACAAGACTAGGCCCAGAGCTAAGGGGTATGTCCTACAAGGAGAGGTTAAGAGAAATCGACCTGATGACATTGAAGGACAGATTAGGGGGAACGTGATAACAACGTATAAAATACCGAGAGGAACTGACAAGGTGGATAGGGACAATGTTTCAGAGATGGGACACAGCAACAAGTGGTCACAAATAGAAGCTGAAAACTCGGATGATTCACAGGAATGTTACGAAGTGTTTCTTCAGCCATAGAGTTATTAGATAGTGGAGCAAACTGGAGTGATGTAGTGGAGGCAGGATCTGTACATAGGTTTAAGAAGAGGTATAATAAATCTCATGGAGCAGGTAAAGAGTGGACCTAGTAGTGACCAGTGAAGAGGAGGGGCCAGGAGCTATGAATCGACCTCTGCAACCACATATAGGTGAGTACACACACATACACACACACCCACACACACACGCGCATGCACACACACACACACTCGTGGAGGAGTCACGCGGTTTGAGCTCGTGTTTTGGTGGTAATTTCTGACTATGCCATAAGGAACAGAGTGTGGGATATAGGCGTGTGCACGCATAAGAGTGCATATAATCACTTAAGCCCCGAAAAAAGGAAATATAAGTGATCACAGAAAAGAAAACAAAGGAAATAGTGACTAAGTGTTTAGTGGGGGCCGTTGGAAGGAAGATGAACGGTTGTGTCAGGCCTAAAAGTGTTGCCATTTAAAAACTCATGGGTTATTTGAAGAATAAGTGCGATCAAGACCAGGGAGATAAGAGATATGTATAGATGTGTCAGTAAATACAGTGAGTGAGTGAAAAAATTAGATGAGCTAGAGACATAGTGCATACAGGAAGTTAGTGGAAAAATTACCGAGAAGCATCAGCATCTTCAACTTCGGGGACAGGACGGACCCGCAACGTTACTCCACTGCCAGCCGCAAGTAATATTCACCTAGTTTGAGTTGCATGGGGTCAATAGTACCTGTCTCTAGCTGGAATTAGGGGTCACTCTCCTCGAGCTATCAGAATTAGAATAAGCGCATTTACTGGCATTTAATAGAATTTAGAGGTAGCGGCATACAGGCGAAGCCTAGTGTATTTATTTTTTAACGTAATTTTAAACGCATAAGACAGTACAGTGGGAACCATGCACACACACTAGGTAAGAACAGGCTCTGCTGTTAGGCACTTGAATAGCTGTAGCACGCACACATACACACACACATGCACACACACACACACACACACACACACACACACACACACACACACACACACACACCACACACACACACAAACACACATATACAGGATTTCACACCTTCCTGTGAAGTGACCCTCTAAACCCTTCCTTTCCCCCTCCCCATCTCTCTCCCTCTCCTCTCTCTCTCTCTCTCTCTCTCTCTCTCTCTCTCTCTCCTCTCTCTCTCTCATCCCTCTCTCTTCCTCTCTTTCTCTCTCTCTTCCTCTCTTTCTCTCCTCTCTTTCTCACTTCCTCTCTCTCTCTCTCCCTCTCTATTCCTCTCTTCCTCTCTTACTTCTCTCTTCCTCTTCTTTTTCTCTCTCTCCTCTCTCTCTTCCCTTGTCACTCCCCCCCCTCTCCCTCTTACCTTTTCCCTCTCACTTTCTCCCCCCTTTTCCCTTCTTTTCCCCTCTCTCCTTCTACCTTCCCCTTCACTCTCTTTCTCCCTGTCTCACTCTCTGCCCCTTTTTCTTTTTCTCTTTCACTAAAAAAAAAAAAAAAAAAAAAAAAAGGTTGGGACTCGTAAGAAGCAGGGATCAGATGACAATGGTATTGGTAGGGAGGAATGGATGGAGGAGCAGTGGAAAAGGATAGAGCAAGAATGGGAGAGAAAATTAGGAGAGCTTTCTGAAAAAATGGAGAAAGAGCTCTCTGTGAAATGGGAAAAGAGGTTGGAGAGGGAGATGAAGAATTGGGAGGCACAAATCGAAACTGCAGTAGCCAGGGTAAAGGTCCTAGAATTTGAGGTAAACAGGCTGAAGCAAGTCTCAGGGGTAGTGACCAGAGAAGACACACCATACGAAGCTGAGAGGCTGAACAGGAAGGAAGGAGATATGAATTATGCTAAGGTCATATCAGCCTGCAAAGAAGGGCCAGGGAGTGGAAGGGAAGAGCAGATGGGTGCAGATGGAGAGGGAGATAGGTCGAATGCTGAGGCACAACCATGCTACCAAGAGCCACTGGAAAAATCAAGGGAGAAAATGACCACATACAGGCAGGAACCAGAGTCACAGAGGGAGAGGCAATGGGAGGATGAAAGGGCAAAATCAGTGTTTATCCATGGGCTTTGGGAGAGAAAGGAAAGGACACA